GGCAGCTGCTAATGAGTGCCACGACCCCCATGGCAGACGAGGCACACGGTGCTATTAGCACTAATTCACTGTGCTAAAGCAGAGAGGGGCTGAACAGGGGGCCAGGGGCGGGCAGGGAGGAAGGGAGAGACGCTCGGGCGATAAAGAGATCACGGCCAATTTCTGCAAGGTGCCTGCATCCACTGTCACTGCACAGCCCAGCTCCTCTCCGGTGCCTCAACCTCGGCCCCAAGCAACACCGAAAAATCCAGAGAGGAGCCGTGGGGAAGGTGTTGCCCAGCAGGAGTCGCTTGCAGCGACCCCTCCTGTGCCATCACCATAGCCTCAAGAAGCCTCCCCAGCCGAAAAAAGGCTGCCCCTGAGCTTCTCCATGCCAGGCAGCATGACTGCAGAGACAGGACAAGGAGGACAGATCAGTGCTGCAGCGGTGGCCCCGCTGCTAGCCCTCCCTGGCTGTGGCAGTGCTGCCGTGGCGAGCGCGGGCATCGGGCTGGCGTCAGCTGGTTGTTGACACGGCTGCTCCCCGGCTCCAGCACCCCCACGGGACCCCGACATGCCGAGCCTGTCAGCAGCTCCCAGCACAGCAGCGAGGGGAGGAGAAGCCGAGTGGCGAGGGCTGGGCTGGCGCCGTGCCGGTCCCTGTCCCCAGGGCTGGCAGCAGGTCCCTGTGACCTGCCACAGGGCAGCAGCACTGCCCAGTCAGGGTACAGCCCCGTGAGTGCAGCCACACTGGGGCCCTCCACACTCCCTTGTCCATAGCCCTGGGCCTCATCCTGCCCGGTGGTCACCCCACTCCCAGCAACAGCTCCCACCCCCTCGCCAGCCCCCCGAGTCCAGCAGGGAAGCATGGAAAAGCCATGGTCTTACCGCTCAATGATGTCCGCGATGGTGCAGGCGAACATGAGGAGCCCTTCCGGCATCTGCAGGGCCACTGGGAAGAGAAACAGCCCTGGGGTTAAGAGAGTTTGGAAGGGACATCCTGAAGTGGGGGCCTGGGCACCAGCTCCAGGGTGAACACACTCAGCTCGAGCAGCAGCCAGCAGAACCAACCTCCCCAAAACAGTCAGAAATTGGCCAGAAGTTCTGGTGGCTTGGACAGCCGGGGTGCACATTGTCCTGCTTTAGGCCATATCCACTCTCCCTGCTCACGGCCCCTGTGTACACACCTCATCCCTCTCTGAACCCGCTGACACTGCTGGTCTCTCCCGCTTCCCGCAGTAATGAGTTCCAGATTTTAATTATGTGCTGCACAGGAAAAGGTACTTTCTTCTGTTTATTTTAAACCTGCTCCTAATAATGTAAACGTGTGCCCCTGGTTCTCCCGGTACAAGAATGAGTGAATAATCATCCCCTGTTCAGCCTCTCCACATCATTCACAATTCTACATCCCTATCATATCCCCATTCGTTCACCTCTTTTTCCAGCTAAAGGATCTAAATCTATTTAATCTCTCCTTATACAGAAGCTGTTCCAAACCTTTGATCATCCTTGCTGCCCTTCTCCACACCTCCCCTTCCTGCTCCTCTCCCCATTTTAGGAGGGTGGCCAGTGACGATGCAGCATTGTGCTTAGCAGGAATTTATCCAACAACGAATGATGTTCCTGGTTTGCTCCCTTCTTGCAGCTCAGAACAATCCCTTCCAAAGACCAGCTGGGCCTCCCAGTGCCTGGGGTCCAGTCAGGAGCCCTCCAAGGGGTGTTGGGGAGGAGGAGGGACCATGTTGGGGGAGACAAATGGAGGAGGCCCCATTAATCCCATTGTTGTTTCGCCTCCCATCCCACTCAGATATCCCAGCTTCAGTGATATCTATCCAAACATTCTCTCCAGATGCCCCTCCAACAAAATCCCCATGCTGCCAGGCCCAGCCTGCTGGCCAGTGTGGAGCTGTGTAAAGACCTGGCTCAAACTGGGCTAATCCCACCCTGTTCCAACCAACAGGGCCCAAGAAAAGCTGCATGTGCTCTGCCAGCCCCTGCCTGACCCGGCAGGGCCAAGAGCTCAGGGTCCCAGAATCCCCCAGCCCATCAGGGACCATTTTGGCCCATTTTGGAACATTTTGGCTCATTTGGGACTGCCCTCCACCTCAGACCTACAAATAGCTTTGCCTTCCCCCACGAGGGGTTGGCAGGAGGTGGCTGGGTCACTCTGCACCGGCACAGCACGATGGGGACAGGGGGTGCCACCCCAGCCCCCCTCAAACCCCGCTGCAGGCAGGGCACAGGCAGGGCTGGCTCAGCCCAGTGGGAGGCTGCGTTCCCCCAGCAACGAGCCCCTGGCTGGGCTCTGCACAGGCGGATTTTTAAATCCCAGCACGGCTGGCTGGCTGATGGGCTCCGCTCCCAGCTCGGAAGCCTAAATCCCAGCCGCATATTTACATTTAATTAGGAGGTGCCAAGCAGCAAAACACAGCAGAGGAAAGCCAGAGCAGCATGGCTGGGTTGCCTCGCCGTGTCCTGGTGGGACAAATCCAGCCCTGCCTCCCGCACCACAGCTGGGATGGGCTGGGCAGCCCCCCCTCCAGCATCACAGCCGGGACCAGCTCAGCTCCCAGAACATCCCCCGTGACGCCTGCCAGCCCTGCCAGCTCAGTGCCAGCAGGCAGAGACATTCCCAGGTGGATACAGCATTTCAACCTGGCTACGCCCGGAGCCCCTGGAGCTACACAACCCCACGAGCATTTGAAGGGAGGGTGGGGATGCTGGTGACATCCAGGGGTGGAGGAAGAGGCTCCCTGCCTGATGCCTATAGCTGGTCACACACTGCTTTAGTGGGATGCACAGGCCACGAGGGAAAGCTTTGGCATCACCCCTGAGGCCACCAGTGCCACTCCCCACCTCTCTGGGGCTACACAACCCCCTGAGGACCCCAAGGAAGGTTCAGACCAGAGCTTCCCACCAGTTCCACGAGTGTCCAGCCTTGCAGGGCTCCCCCTTCCCAGCCCCAGCAGCATGTCAGGAAAGCACTGGGAGAGAGGCGAGAGGAGAGAGGAGCACAGCAGGGACCTGGCCAGCATCCCAGACACATCTCCAGGCTGACAGGTCCGAACAGCTCAACCTGTCCTGTCCAATGTGATTTTAATCCAGAGATACAGATCTATTAACCCCCCTCGAGGGGAGGGGAGCTCGCCAAGACAGAGCCTGAACATGCCAGGGCACTCCAGACAGCTCGGAACATCCTCTGTCCCGGCCTCATCCGCCCCGGGGGGGTCCCAGTGGCACCAACCATCCCCAAAACCTCTCATCCCCCGGGGTCAGTGCTCACCCTTCCTGGCCCGAGCCTGCCGGATCCGCCAGATGGTCTTGGGGATCTCGAAGTTGTAGTTTGGGGGCAGGGCCTTTGCTGCCTCCTGCAGCTCCGAGTTTCCAAGGATCTCCTCGGGGATCTGCTGTGCCACGTGTCGCACGGGGGCTCGGGCTGTGGGACAAACGGGGGGGGGAGCTAAAGGAGGGGCCAGGAGAGCAGAGCACCCCACAGCTCACGGGCCACCAGCGTCCTCACTGCCCTCGTGCCAATCCCTGGGATGAGCAGGAGGAGTCTCTGTGCTCAAACACCTCGGGACAAGCAGGAGAAGGGGCTTTGTACTCAGACCCTGTGGAACAAACAGGGGAAGGTGGTGGGGTCCTGCCCTTCACGCTGCGAGCAGATTGCTGCTACTTTTTGGGAGGAAAAGAGGGGGTTTTAGCCCAGAAAGCAACACCGTAACCATATGAAACCCTCTGAGTGCACGCCACGAATAACCCCTCGTGCCTCATCCGCCAGCACCCCGGCGACACCCTAACGCACCCCTCCTTCCCCAGCAAGGGGATCCCGCTATCCCCCCGGGAAAAAAAGCCACCAGCGGCGGG